GATTGCTCTCTGAGGTTACCTGACTATCCCCTCCTGGAGCTAATGTACCAGACATCTTGGGAAACCATCAGTTGGAGAGCTGAGATTGTGTTGGGTGTGGGAGAGTGAGTGGGGCTGGTTGGAATGGTCTGTGCTTGCCCAGCAGGGCCAGATCCTGGACAGGGCCTTGACTCCAGCATTAACACATACATGTTTCCTTCCTGGACAACTGGCTTTCCATCCAGACAGGACAAAGGTGGACAAACCACACACTGCTGGTGTCTTGACACACGTCCCTTCTCCTTGTCCACAGGACATCCCAGAGTACATATGTGGAAAGTGAGGCTTGAACAGGTGGCACATCTTGCTTAGCAGTGTGGGCAATCCTCATCTCTTCGGTTGCTCTTTCCAACGATTTTTTGTGTTTTTTTTTTGAGACAGGGTCTGACTCTCTAGGCTAGGCTAGTCTTGAACTTTCAGTGATGATCTTTCTGCTCAGCTCTGGAGTGCAGGGATCACAGGCGTGAGCTGTCACACCTGGCTTGCCCTCTCTCCTTTCCTCCCTCCCTTCTTAGCAGTGCTGAGGGTGGAACCGAGGGCCTTGTACAAACTAGCCGACCACGGCTGAGCTCCATCCATCCTCTTGAGTTGCTTAAATGCAGGGGCAGAAGGAGTAACAGATTAGGACCTATTGGAGGCATCTGTGATCGTCAGGTCAGAGTCACAGTGTCCTGGGCTAAGACTCTTGGCTCGCTGGACTTCAGCTTAGTCCTCTAGGTGATGAGGTTCCCAGCTTGATACATCTAAGCTGGAGGGTGGAGTGAGGCTCAGGATGAAAAGAGGCTCTGCAGATGATGCAAGTACAGAAGGCTTGGTGATGGCTGTTTTGACATCCTTAGCTCAGCCCACCTCCTTCTTCCCAGTCTTTGCCTCCCCTCACTAACAGTTAACTAGCAGCTACTCAGAACCAGACTTTGGAATCACCTGGATCCCAGTCCTGAGACTGTCACTTGTTGGCTGGTTCCTCCCCTCTAGGACTCAGTTTTCCTATCTTGCTCACCTCCCAGACAGGAGTGAAGATTTTTTTTTTTTTTTTGGTCTTTTTGAGACAGGGTCTCCCTGTAGCCCCAGCTGTCCTGGAACTCACTATGTAGACCAGGCTGGCCTTGAACTCACAGAGATCTGCCTGCCTCTGCCTCCCAAGTGCTGGGGTTAAAGGTGTGTGCCACCATACCCAGCTAGTAGTAAAGATTTTAAATAATTTAAAAAAATTGGGAGTGGGGGCTTGGAGAGATGGCTCAGCGGTTAAGAGCAGTGGCTGTTCTTGCAGAGGACCCAGGTTCAGTTCCCAGCACCCATTTGGTGTTTTAACAACCATCCACAACTCCAGTTCCAAGGGATCCGACGCCCTCCTCTGGCCTCAACAGGCATTGCATGCACCTACATATATGTAGGTAGAACACTCATAACACTTAAATTTTTAGCCGGACATGGTGGCATACACCTTTAATCCTAGCACTCAGGGGGCAGAAGCAGGTGGAGCTCTGTGAGTTCAATGCCAGCCTGGTCTACATAGTGAGTTCCAGGACAGCTGGGGCTACAGAGAGACCCTGTCTCAAAAAGACCAAAAAATAAACAAAATTAAAATAAAAAACTTTCTCTTATTTGATGAGTGTGGTAGTTTCCTAGTTCCTGTGGAGCTGTCTGGCATTCAGGATCCAGTCAGACCTGGTGAGGGGTACTCTGACCTCAGGGCAGGTTCAGAGATAGTGTTAAGCCAGCAGGTGAGGGGGAAAGAGGGACCCCCAGTGAAGGGGGCCTGCTTGGACTGACTGTTGGTGAGTGCTGAAAGTGCTGAGCAAGAGTGGGTCCCTAGACTAATGTGGGCATGGATAGCCATGGCTAGTTCTTGGGTTGGGAGAGAAGCCTGGATGTGGGAACTTGGAGACTTTTTCTACCTCTTCAGGCCCCTCCTAGTAGAGGGCTGAGAACCATGGAGACCACCCAGCCAGCTGGGGCTGTGGGCTGAAGGAGGGCTGGGAGGCTTTCCAGGGAGCCCCTTTCCCTTGGGAGGCGCCCGCCTGGGGCCAGAGAGGCAGCTGGCATCTTGCAACCCTGCAATTAGTAGATAAAGTCAGCAGAAGAGCCGGTGGTGATGGTGGCAGTAGGGGGTGGCAGGCCAAGCTGCAGCTGGCTCCTGGGTGCAGCCTCTACCCCCAGTCCCCACCAGCTGTCCCAGAAGGGTTGCCTAGAGGGACTGGAGGCCCCCCAGGTGGGCAAGGCACTGGGGTCTTGGGAGGTTGTGCAGAGCAATGGAGAAAGGCAGAAAGAATGTGAGTGGGTTTCTTAGGAGATGGGCTTGGTCAGCCCATGGCAATGCTCCCCATTTACAGACAGGGAAACTAAAGCTTATCAGAAGACACACAGCCAGTTGGAAAGTAAGCTGGGCCATACATCATGTTGATCTGGGGGAATAACTCCTGAACGGATGGCCTTGGAGAGTCAGGTTGGGCCTGATTAATGACCTTGGCTGGAGAGCAGGGGCTGACTCCGGGGTCCCAGCCCTCTCACTACAGCAGGAGCCAGGCCTGGGATGCAGGCCTAGGCAGTTCCCCAGCCTGTCTGAGCACTCCAAGGTCTGGGAGGAGAGGTACCTTTGGGCCTGCGTGGCCACTGCACGTAGCCCCTGGGCTACCTGCTCTCTGCAGACTTGGCTGCCCACAGATATGTGGCCAGGGTGGACCTGGTCCTGGCCTCAGCCTTACACTACACAGCCCTCCATCCTTCCTCCACCCCTCCATTCCTCTATTATTCCCCCCCCCCCATTATTCCAGGACTCTGTGTTGCTAGGGTTCTTGACCCTCCAAGAGTGGCTGGTGGGGCAGGGTAAACAGACAACCATTCACAGTAAGGGAAGTAGATAGGCTGAGGCTGTGAAGGGCTGCTGGGGGAGGGCAAATCTGGGTGGTGGTGATGGGGTGGAGGGTTCAGCCTGGCTTAGAGAGGCTTGATTTGTAGAGAAGTACTGTTGGGTAGGTCCAGGGGGATCTTTCCCTAGAAGGGGATGGACAGGCTCCGGACTTAAACCACCTGACCTGGGTTGTTTCATGACTACTTAGCTGTGTGGCCTTGGGAAAGCTACTTGCTCCGTCTGAGCCCTGGGATCTCAGCATAAAAAGGGGGGTGATGGTGGTACCCACACACTGCATGTGGGAAGGACCTTGAGAGTTGCCCATGAAATGCATGTGGTCTGCTTTTAGCAGCCACTCCTCAAGTGACCAGAGCCTGTGAGTGACAGATGTATTTGGCATGACTGTGTCTCACATTGGAGAGGGCTCAGGCCTGCTCTCCCCTATTTAATGAGAACCTGGAAGAGGTCAGGGAGAAGACCCTGCCCTTATATGCTGTCCAAGGTGGGCACAGGTAAGGCTGCAGGGGCTGGTGGGGATTGGGGAGCAGGGTGCCTGCTGCATCCTGAGGAGCAGGTGTGGCAATGTGGTCAGAGGTGCTGATGACTAGGAGGGAAACCCACATTTGAACGGGCAGACTTCCCATGACTAATATTAGCAGTGCTTTCCTTAAGGCACCATGTGAGAAGCTAATGTCAGTCATGACCCCTGGGTGACTTTCACTGAAGGCAGCAGGGAGCCTTGGAAGGGCTTTGAGCAGGGCCCAGCACATGCTTCACACCCCTCACATTTCCGAGTCCTGTAAGGGCAAGTGGTCCCTTGCTCCTGTGGCCTCCCTTTCCGGAGGGCACAGTGTAGGTGGGAGGCCAGAGCCTCTCTTCTGCTAACTGCCTCTCTTCAAGCAGGCTGGTGGGGAGACAGGGGCCCTGAGGAGGCCACTGCTCACGCTATCTCTCTGGAGGTGCCAGGGAGTCTGGGGGCGCTGCGGGCTCTGCTCTGTGTCTGGGAATGGCAGCTCCAAGGCTGCTGTCAGTGAGGGCCAGGCTCCTAGCGCCTGGAGGTCAAAGGGCAGCACTTTCAGCCTTTCCTGGGGCCAATTTCCTGCTTGAGAGAGAAAACAGAAATATGCCTGGCAGCTGATGGTCCTTTTTCTGCTCGTGCTGACTCCTGGGGTCAGCCTTCTTGGGGGATCCCCACAGCTGCCTCCCTCGTTTCCCCTGGGTGTTCAGGAGAGGACTTGGGGCCTCTGCCACCCTACTAACCACATCAGCTAGGCTTGGGGACAAGGACAGTGCTTCTGGCTCTCAGCTGGGCCCTCAGCCCTTGCCCCTTCCTTGATCCCTAGAAGGGGATCAAGGCATCTCTGGGTCCCAGCAATGTAGTCTCCAGCAACCTGCATGATCAAACCACAAGAAAAAGTCATTGCTGCAGCTCCACACTTCCAGCAGGGAGTCTTCTGATCAACAATTTAGCTTCTCTTTGTGCCAGGCTGAGTCCCAGCCTCCCCTTCAACACCCCCCTGAACACCGGGAGCTCATCATCTTCCAGCTGCTGGAGCAACTAACACAGCTGACAGAAGGGCAGGATCTTCGACTCTGGGAGATTTGAGTCTGCTGCTGTGACTTGAATACCCATTTCCATCAGATTCGTTAGAAATCTGCTGACTACAGGCTTGAAAATTAGACATCAAAAACAAAATTACCAGCTGGGTGTGGTGGTACACACTTGTAATCCCAGTACTTCGAGTCTGACGCAGGAGGATTCCGAGTTCAAGGCTAGTCCGGGCTGCACAGCTTCAGGCTAGCCAGTGCTATATAATAAGACCCTGTCTCAAACAAACAAAAATAATAAAATAATCTTTAATTTTCCTACCTTGCATAGGGCCGAGGGAAGGAATAAGAGGGTTTCCTATGATATGTGCGTAAATTCCCAGCAACCAACTGACCCTCATCCATACACCTTGCTGGCAAATCCCTTCTGCCCATGGTAGACTGCCACAATTTTAACTTTAATTTTTAATTAAAAGATTTATTATTGTGTGTGCCTCTGTGTGGGGGTACATGTGTGCTATGGTGTGCTTGTGAAGGCTGGAGGACTTGGCTCTCTCCTTCCATTTTTATGTGGGTTCTGGGGAATCAAACTCAGGTTGTCAGGCTTACACAGTGACTGTTTTACACAATGAACTATGAGACACCTTAACTTACAGATGGAGAAACTGAGGCTCAGAGAAGACAAGGGACTTCCCTGAGGTTGCGCAGTCAGTAAAGGGCAGAGCAGAGATTTGAGTCCATGAGGTTCTGGAACTTAGGTCTCTTCTTATCCAGATAAGATAGACACCACACTCCCTTCTTCCCTGGCAGGGGCTAGATACCAGACCCTTCAGCTACTTGGATATTCATTCATCCATTTAATCAACAGCAATCCTGGGCTCTAGTTCAATGCTAGGTGAAGGTAGGTGCTGATCCACCATGCCCTCTCCCCATATCTGCAGTACTTTTGAGACTCAGTCCTGAGAGCTTGAACTCATTTATTACAAAAGACTGAGCTTATTTATGAATCGGTCCTGCCAGACTACCAAGGCCTGATTTAGGCCGCATAGCCTTCCCTCTACATGCCCCATTCCTGCATGAAATCTTAAGTGGGTGGGGGCTTGAGAACTGTGTGATGGACTGTTCTGTTTATAAAATCGAATGGGTCCAAGCAACCCTGGGCATATATAATATACATATCCAATGGGCTTTCACTCCCCTAGGTGTGGGTAAGTGGGGTTGCTGATCTCCAGGGAGAGAAGGAAGTGATCCACACAGGGAGCAGGGAGTGTAGACAGCTACACAGTTCAAGTGGCTTCATGTTAGTCCTGTTCAGCCCCGGAGACTCTAGGCCACCTGGATCTGCAGGTCCTCATCTTCATCCAGGTCACTGGCTCCATCCCCAGCCTCCTCAGTGCCAAATCGGGTACTACGAATCTTCCCAAAGAGGGGGGCATTTTGCTGCTGCCTGCGGAGCCTGAGGGGTGACAGGTCAGAGCAGGAGTCATGGTGGTACCTATGATGACAGTGGCTACACATTTTCCAGTTTCCAGGCACCTTGTGGTACCTGTGCTCATATGGGGGAGATGCTATTGTCAGCTCTATTTAGGTATAAGGAAACTGAGGCACAATGAAGTCAAGTGATTTGCCAAAAGTCATCCAGACAGGAGGCAGTGGGACTGGGCTGAGCTGGAATACAAGCTTGGGGTTGACAGGGACTTGGAGAGTGATGGAGCTGGCTCAAGGTCACTCACAGAGCTTCAAGAGATGAGGAAACAAGGTGTGGTGGTGTGGAGCCCACTGTGTTCAGGAGGAAGTGCTCAGCCCTGGTTCCTCACATCAAATTCCTAAAGCCAAAATGTGCCAGACAAACTTAGCTTGGAAAAGGAGCTGGTGGAGGCAACAAGCCATCCCCAACAAGGTGGCCACTCTGCATCTTACTGGAAGGCATGAATTATTAACATGGCAGGGTGGGGCGAGAGTGTGGTTCCATTACTGTGTGTTGATTTAGTGAGCTGTCCTTGAACATTAAAGTAAAAAAAGTTGCAAACTAAAGTGAGGCAGCGGTCTTGGGTGGTACTGCCTGCCCTGACAGAAGCACTGGGGAGGCTGAGCAGAGCTGGCCTGCCCATTTTGGGAGTTTATGGCTCCCCAGGAATGTGGCCAGAGGCTTCTGAAAAGCCCCAGGCTGAGTGGCCTGTCATGGATATGTGTAGTGCTGGCCTGTGTGGAACCAGGCACGCAATGAGCCTGACTTGAATCCCTGCATACTTTTCAGGTGCCACTCCAGGGAGATAAGGAAACACAGCTATAAGACCTGGCTCCACAGCTTGTTTTCACCACAAGATCTCAGCACACAGCAGCATTTAACAGATGCTCAATAAACATGGCACTGATGGCCAGGAGGCCCTACAAGGCCCCCTACTAGCTGGGCAGCCATGAAGATGAAGGACTTTCCTGTCTGCCAGTCCCCTAAAGGCAAATATTTCTCCCTCTCTTTGCCTCACAGCAGGCAAGTGTTGCTTGTGGCACAGTATCTAGCCTACGCCTTAGCCCTCTCCCGAGAAAGGCAATGAAAGGGGCTGAGCCAGTGCAAATGGTGACTCAGCATTTGTTGGTCTGGGTGCTTTTTATCTTCAGACAGGGTATCATGTAGCCCAGGATGGTCTCCAATTCCTAATGTAGCTGAGGATGACCCTGAGCTTCTGATCCTCCTACCTCTACTTTTCCAGTTCTGGGATTACAGGTGTATACCCTCATGTTTGGTTTACGTGGTGATGGGGAATTGAACCTAGATCTTTGTGTATGTGAATCGAGTGCTCTACTCACTGAGCTACGTTCCTAGGTGCAAATGATGACTTAGCAACTGTTGGTCCAGGTGCTTTTGTAAGCTTGAATTAGCTCACTTCATTCCCACACTGACAAAGAACCTTAATCAACCTGCTTTACAGATGGAGAAGCTGATCCAGGAAGCTTCAGTGTCCTAAGGTCACTTAGCCTTTCCCCCACCCAGATAGTCTGGCTGCCGGTCCTGCTTCTCTCCATCCATGAGGTAAGACAGAAGGAATGGGTATGGCCAGGCTGGCCACAGGAAGTGGGTCCATGCAATGGCCAGATGCCCCTGGGGCTTCACAGCTCTGACTCTGGAAGGCTCTGCCTGAAGTACTCTGACATCTCTTGGTGGTTTTGAAGGTAGGAAAGAAGGGGTGGCATTCAGAATGCCTGGGCAGTGGGGTGGGGGCAGTGTGCCAGGTAGTTGGACCTGAGAGCCTGTCCACTTCCTGCAGGGGCTGAGAGGTCCTGCTATAGCTGAGAGACCTGGCTGGATGCCCTCTCCTATTCCCTGTCCTCCAGTCCTTCAGAGTACTGCTGTGCCAGGGACAACCAGTCCCAAGATCCTGGGGCTTCTGCTGCTTCTTGCCAACGACTCCCAGCATCACTGGCCCTGCCCACTGCTGGACCTCCTTAGCAGGCCTCTGCCTACAGGAGGAGACAATTCTAGAACCCACAGCTGGGCTGGCTTCCTGCAGCCCCTCCTGGCTTCCTGGCCCCAGGAGTTCTTCCTTCTTGGTCTTCCCCTAGGGCTCTCAAGGTGGTTCCAGCCCTCCCCTGTGCCTTTGGGGTCCTCAGGGTCCTCCCCAAGCAGAGAGCCCTTGCTTACCTGGACTGTAGGTGCTCCAGTTGCACCTGCAGGTTTTCGCTCTGCTCTGTCTGCTCGTCCAGTGACCGCTGCAGCTTCCGTGCCTGGTTGTGGGCTTCGTCCAGCTAGGGTGAGCAGAGCAGCAAGTACGAGAGTCATGTTGGCCAGGGACTCATTCACTTTCCCTGCTCTGCTCTGGAACTGTGCTGTCTCGAGACCTCCTAAGGCCTTACCCCAGGACTGCCTCCAGAAGGAAGCATCCTTCCTGTTCTCCATCCCTGCAGCCTGCAGTCTCCAAATCTACCCACCATGCATCAATCTAACCAGCACCCACTCATCTGCCTGGCTACATGTCTTCCACACAGTAACCTGCCAGACGCCCTTCGTTCTCTGCCCATTCATTCTTCCACACACTCTTTCATCTGTCTGTGGTCTACCCACCCAATCGTCCATCTGTTTGCATACCCATCATCCATGCAGCCTCCTGTTGCTGTATCTCACCCATGTACCCTCCCTCTCCATCCATCTGTCCACCCAGTCCCCCATGCATCTGTGGAGTCCTCCTTCTGTTTTCTGTTTAACCATCTATACATCTATTCCCCACACCTGCTTGTTCATTCCATCCACTTTCCTTCCTATCCGCTTGCTGTTGCCCTGGGTGCCTGGGCCTAGCATGGAGCAGCACAGGTAAGTGTGTGACCTACTTTTGAGCCCACTGGTACTTGCCTCATCCTCCGCCTGGGCCAGCTCTTTCTTGAGTTCTTCTACCCGAAGTCGCAGTTTTTTCACCTCCGTCTCATGCTGCTCCACGCGCCGGTTGGCATGTGCCAGCTCTGCCACCTTCTCCTGGAACTGCTTCTTCAGCTTGCCATGCAGGTGCTTCAGGTCTGCCAGCTCCTGTAGAAAGGGCTTAGGGTCACGTGGGCATTGTGTCAGGGAAACCCAGAGGACAGTTAACTAAGGGAGCCTGGCATCACCTCTGCAGGAATCTCCCACTTGGCTATTTGAGTATTAAGGTTTGGTGAGCAATTGGGGGCTGGCAGTGCCACCTAGTGAGGTGAGAAAGCTGAGCTGGTGGCTCTGTGGCTCCACTTGGATGTGTGACTGTGAGGCGCCAGGGAGATGTCCAGTGGGCTGTGGGGCTTTGGGTCAGGATTTGGGGGAGTGAAGTCTTTGGTGACAGATGTGGCATTTGACTCCTGGATCTGGGGATGAGCTAAGTTGGGGAGTGGGTGACAGAAGAGAGCAGAGGTCAAAATGGCTTGGAAGAGAGGCAGCTGACAAAGGAGATGGCCACCCTGGGTCATTCTTGGGCGTCTCAGCTCCCATCTGTAGAGCAGAGATCGGCTCTGTCTAGTTTATCCTTCCTCTGCCTGTCAGTCCCGGTTTTGGGTTTTAATTTCTTTTCTTCTCTTTTTCTCAGGTAGTCAAGGCTGGCATTGAATTTTCTATGTAGCCAAGGATGATTTGAACTTCCTACCTTCCTGCCCAAGTGCTGGGACGATAGGCGTGTGTGCTACCACATCTTGTTTTATATGATGCTGGGGATAGAATCCAGGGCTTTGTGCATATTTGTGCATCTACCAAGCCACATCCCCCGCCTGGATTCCAGATATTTTAGTTTTGTATTTTTTCCTCTGCTACATCTGCATTTTAACCAAGACCTGCTATATCCAGGTGTGGGATTTTCTACTCTTTGAGAAAATCATGTTCATGCTTAAAGTTGGGGATTTTGGAGCCTTTCAGATTTTTGGTTTGGGGATCAGTGAGGCTCAGCTTGTACTGAGCACACGGAAGGTGCGCTGCTCAGCTGTATGGCGAGTCCAGGGCCGTCACTCTGCCCCACCTTGTTCTTCTCAAAGAGAGCTGCCTGGCTGGCCCTCAGGTCGCAGTCCAGGGCACTAGTGGTCTGCCGCCGCCTCCGAGCCAGGGCCTCCTCCAGGTCCCCAACCTGTGCTCGCAGCTTCTTATTCTCTCGCTCCAAGCCTAGTTTCTCGGTCTCCAGCCGCTCCCTGCGGCCCCATTCAGCCGCATTCTCTGCCTGGAGCCTCTCCATCTGCAACAGGGACAAAGTGAGCCTCCTGTGGGACATGGATAGAGAAACAAGCTGGATGTGCACGCTCCCCCCCCCCCCGCCCAAAAATGGCTCCAGGAAGTGCCCCCCCCCCCCCCCCCCCCAGCCAAAAATGGCTCCAGGAAGCAGATCCAGCTGCAGCAGCTATAATTATACTAGGCTTTTTTTTCCACAGTGTGCAGGATGTGGGGGCACTTCTGGTCTCTGTGTAGGAGAGGGGATGCCTCCTGCAGACAGGATTCCTGGGGTGGGGGTGTGGCTGGCCCTCTCATAGAACAACTTAGCTCCAGCTTCTCTCTCAGTAACCACTCAATGAAGCCCTTGGACCCCTGAGCCCCAGGCAATCCTATTTCCATCCTGTTGGCCCCTCACCTCGCCCCTCAGCTCTGCCATCTTTCGGTCCATGCTAGACCTCGCACCCAGCTCATCCTCCAGGTCTTCAGACATACGGCCCAACTCGTCCTGGTGTGTCTCTTTCAGGATGCTGAGCTGCAAGGATACCACCCAGACTGGTCACCAGGATATATCCCAGAAACAGCACTACAGGTGGGCACCAGCCTCAGTGCTCAGTTGGAAGCCTGAGGCTGTGACTAAATGGGATATAAGGGACCCAGAGTAGGTTGAATCTGACCATCTTGTGTTTTGGATCCCTGGCACCTCCCACCTCCACACCATGTGGCCTCCTGCTGCTTGCTCTTCACAGCTCACTGTCAACAATGAGAATCAACAGTGAACTTGAAAAAGTTCAATTCAACCCAATGCCCCACCCCACACCAACAACCCCCAATGCACCACCCCACACCAAAGACCCCTCTAGGGCTCCTAGGTAAATGCCTTGGGATAAAACCCCAATTCCTATAGTTTCATAAAGTCCTGCAAGGCACAGTCCTGTGCATTTTTTCTCAGTCTCCTTTCCTATCCCTGTGCCTTTAATTCACTGTGCTCAGGCTACATACTCCATTCTATTCTTCAAGCATACCAAATTCCTGCCTACCGCAGGGCTTTTGCGTGTGCAGTCTGTGCTGTCTGGAATACTGAAGTTATTTTGCAGGATTGGTTTTACTTATCCTCTGGCCTTGATCTAAATGTCTCTTTCTCAGAGGACCTCTCCTGTCCACCTAGCCCTTTCCCACTGCCCACTAGGCTGCAGGCCAGGCCAGAGAGCTCCTGTCTTCCTAATGGCAGAATGTTAGCCTGCTTGTGCAGACATATCTACTGCGGGCCCTTTCCCCTAACTGCCACTCCACACAAGTATGCAGCGAGCCTCCAAAACAACGCAGAGAAAGACGCCAGGCACAGGAGAATTTTCTGCTCAACTGCACATTCGTGCTCCATTTAAACGATTAAATGGAGTCTGAATAGAGTGAAGCCAAATTCCCAAACCCCGGAAGGGGTAGGTGGAGAGATTCAGAGGGAAGACCGACTCCAGGCATTTTTGACACTAAAGTCTCTGGTCTTTCACCTCTGGAAACACAGGGTATCCAGCACTGCTTTCCCAGGGTGGCTGTGCCCCCTGGTGGCCACATCCGATCTGTACAGTAGGCAGAAGTGGCTGCCGGCCAGCTCTAAGCTCTTTTCTGTGCCAGCAGTCTCTCCCAGCCTCAACTGCCTCACCTCTAAGACGGGGACATTCGGACCCAGCTCCTTCAACTGCCACAAGGCTTTAGTGACACCTGACACACATTACAAACACAATAAATGTCATGCCTGACTCCTCCATTCTGGTTGCAAACTCTCTGAGATGCAGCCCCACCCCCACCCCCTTACAGGACTCTCCAGTCACACTGGCCTTCTCTGTATCTAGCATACACTGTCTGCCTGCCCCAGGACCTGCTGTGAACACCCTGCTCCCCTATGTTTTCAAGGATGGCCTCTGCTAGCCTCTTTAAGTATTGCTTCAAATGGCAGCTTTTTTTGGTGTGGGGGGGGAATGTTGAGACAGGGCCTCACTCTATCCTAGTTGGCCTTGAACTGGAGGCAATCCTCCTGCCTCAGCTTCCTAAGTGCTGGGATTACAAGTGTAAGCCACCACACCTGGCTAAAATGTCATCTTAGAGAGACGCTAGGTGGCCTACCACTGCATCGCCCTCATGCTAGTTCAAGTCTTCATGACTCATAGCTTTTACTTGCTGGGTTTCTATCATCTCCCTGCCTGCCTGGGTGCTCAGAATAATGGCCGAGTGAATGAATCCCATCCTAACCTGTCCCCACTGCTGAACTCTCTGGCAGTGTGTGGCTGCCACCTCTAGGAAACCCTGCCTCCCCTGCCCCTGCCTTACTTGCTTGAGCATCTCCTGCTTGGTCTTGCTCAGCTCCTCATACTTGATCTTCCACTGGCTAAGCTCCCCCTCCAGCTTCTCGATGCTCCTGCTTAGTGCCAGCTTATCCCTGGGGAGGGAACAGGCAGCACACAGACTTCATGTTTCAGATTCTTTTACTTCATGTTTCAGGGAATATACTGGCTTGACTTTCTTGTTTAAACAGCAGAACTGTATTCTCTCATACTCTGTGGCTAGAAGTCCAAGACAAGTGTGGGCAGAGGAGGTTGCCTCTCAGGCTGTGAGAAGAAACCTGTTCCATCCTCGCCCAGCTTCTGCTGGTTGCTGGCCACCTTTGGTTTTCCTTGGCCAAAGACACAAGACATCCATAGAAGCATCACCCTGACCTTCACAGGATATTATGTTTCATTTCTTCTGTTCCTACCCCCAGTGGAACCTAGAGCCTTACATGCTAGGTAAGCACACTACCACTGAGCTATACCCTTGAGCCCTTATGTTGATTTTTTTTTTTTTTTTGGTCTTTTTGAGACAGGGTCTCCCTGTAGCCCCAGCTGTCCTGGAACTCACTATGTAGACCAGGCTGGGCTTGAACTCACAGAGATCCGCCTGCCTCTGCCTCCCAAGTGCTGGGATTAAAGGCGTGCGCCACCACACCCGGCTATGTTGATTTTTTTAAGAAGTAAAATCACATATGCAGACTGAGTATACCATCTACATATATATATTTCCTGGAAAGCAAGGCTGTAGAATATTCATGAACATCAGGTTGTATCCTGTAAATGCCCAGCTCAAAGTCACTGCTGACCTCCATGTTCTAAATCCACTGGTCAGCCTCAGTCCAGCTGCCCACTGTCCTGTTAAATAGTCTCTCTCAGTTCCTCTTCCCCACAAATATTCCCCTCTCCTCTCTACTTCCCCCTTCGTCTAAACTTGGCAGACCCAGGGCTCTATCCCATGACCTTTCTACCCACCTATTCCTCAGACATCAGCTGCCATGTGGTTCACTGATGACTCCTGCCTAAAACCTGTCTGGACCCTCAGACCCATCCACTCACCAACTGTCACCTTGCCATGCCAAACAACTCCAAATCCAAACTCCCAACTTCCTCCCCAATGCCTGCTTTCCCTCAGCCTGCTGCCTTCTCCACCACCAGAACCAAGTTGGAGATTTTTGCTTCTTTATGGCTGTGACCTCAATGCTGAGCTGGCCCAGAGCAGACTCCTGAGGACATTATTAGAATGAACAACATACATACAACTGTAATCCTAGCACTCAAGAGGCTGAGACAGGAGGGTGGAGAGTTTGAGGGTAGCTTAGGCTACATTGTGAGCTCAAGGCTAACCTAGGCTAATGTACCGAAGACCTGCCTTAAAAACAAGGAATGAGGGGCTGGAGAGATGGCTTAGCAATTAAGAATACTGGCTGCTCTTTGCAGAGGACTCCAGGTTCAGTTCCCAGCAGCCACATGGTAGTTAACAGCCATCCATAATTCCGGTTTCAGGGGATCTGACACCGTCTTCTGGCATCTAAGGGCACTGCATGACATGGGTGCACTTACCTACATGCAGGCAACTCTTATACACATAAAATAAAAATAATAAACTAAAACAAACATACATATAAAAAAACTCCAAGGAATGAATAATAAAACCCTGCACTGGGTCCACTGCCGTAAGACCCAAGATTATGCCTCAACTGTGCCCCAACTTTGGTGACTCCCATGTTCTGAAGCACTAATTTTCACCCTGGGATTCTTGGGTGCCCAGTCCCTGGCCTCAACCTGTCCCCCCAGACTCACTCTCGCTCCTTTAGCAGCACCTTCTGAGATTCATCCAGTCGCAGCCGCAGAGCAGTCAACTTGGAGGCATCCTCCTCCACACTGGCTGTGTCTTCCCAGGGCAGCCGGCTGCGTTCCTGGCGGCCTGAGCTGCTCCGAGGGCCCCCAGCTGCTACACTGCAGGCATCCCAGCAGCCCTCAGGCTCTTCTGCTCTGCTCTTCAGCAGGCTCTCTACCAGATCCAGCTCCTGTGGGGACCAAGGTGGGGGCTGCACACGGCTGTGGCCCCCTTAGGTCCTGCTCTGGAATAAGCTGGCTAGGTGACATGGGGCAAGTGATAGTGTGTCTGGGCCCTGGTTTCCTCTTTTGCTGCCCACTTCTCCATTCTCCTTCTCTGGGCATCCCCTTTCACCTCCTGCAATGACATTAGCAGCCACCAGGGTTTCCTGTATCCTGGAACATTCCTTGGAAGAGGTGGTGAGCCCTCTGTCATGCAAACACACAGTGGACTAGTTGGAACAGATACTGAAGTAGGGATTCCTTCCATAGTTTAAGACTAGATTTCTCCAAAGGAATTCCAGTTCAGGGGCAAACAGGTACAGGGAGATTAGTGACTGTGGGGGACTGATCTCTTGCCATCCTGCCCTCAGATTGTTCTAGTAGGGCACGCTGGATGCCACAAAGCATCATTTCACAGATGGAGATACCAGGAGTGAGGGTCACAAAACAGTGTGGCTGAGCTGATAGGTAAGCTTAGACTGCAGATCAGGGGCTCCCCACACTGTTCTAGAGAGCTGCCAAATTCCCCACTCCTCATCTGAGGGTTAGAGAACATCTCCAAATACCATACCAGGTTGGGGGATGATTCCAAATACCAGCCCACAGGGAAAGGGATTAGGGCATGCCAGAAAGAAAGGGCGGCCAAAAGTCTCATTACTAGGATCCAGCCTTCTAGGGACCAATCTGGGAAGCTGAGCCAAGATCCTGCCTGGGTGGCCTTCTGCTAACAGGCCTGTTGGCACAGGAAAGGCTGCCCCAGTCACACTAAGTGTCACTACCCCATGGCTTGGAGTGGCCAGCAGTGACCTTGGTTCTGAACCACCTGACCCCACCTCTCCCCTCCCACCCTCAGGGACTGCTATAGGGACTAGATACTGCATCTGCAGGCTCCCACTGAATGATGGGGACAGGTACTACCATTCCTTAGACTCACCAGGCCCTCAGACTCTGGGTTTGTGCAGTTACTATGAACTAGTATGCCTCTGGCACTTTCCACAGCTAATTCACATGCATTCTCTTGGTCTCAGCTTAAATGTGATTTTTTTTCTGGAAAGCCTCCCCAAAGCCTAGCTTAGGGACCTGCTTGCTCTGTGCTCAGGGCCCTGAGAACCAACCAAATTGAAGGAACAGAGTCAGTTCTAACTCTATGCCATGCAGGGGAGTCCAAGGATCCCTCCTGTGCTGGAGGTGGAGGATACCTAGGTTCTGTTGACTTCTAAGGTGTAGGAGTGGATGGATGACTAGAACCTGGGATTCCCCATCCTGGAGACTTTCAAAGCCGGGTGATCAGGGCCCCCATAGGGATGACACATCACAAGGCGCCAGGCCCTCCTTATGAACTTGTTTTCTTGCCTTCCACCCTGGCCCCTTCTAGAACCCTGTGCAAGGCTGGCCCCGCACTCCAGCCTCCTCCCAAGCCCCAGAGCCTGGCGCACCTGGCTGCCCTGTGGTCTCTCCACACCGACGTCGCGCACTGGCTCGTGCTCATGCTCTGGGCTGTCTTGAGTCTTGTCCACTGCACCGCGCGCGCCACGCAGTCGGGCCAGCTCTCGGCCACGAGCCTCGCACTCTCCCTGCGCCTCCTGGCGCTCGCGGCGCGCGCCCGCCAGCTCCTTGGTGAGCGCGTCCAGGCGCTGGCGCAGCTGGCGCACCTCCTCGCGTGCTCGGTTGCGCTCGGCGCGCACCTTGCTCCATTTCTCGCGCCAGTTGGCCGTGCAGTCAGACCACCAGCGCATGGTCTTCTCCATCTGCGCGGCCCGCGCGCGCGCCTCCTCCAGCTCCCGCAGCCGCAGCTCCTCGCGGCTCTCCCAGTCGCCGTCGGCCAAAAGCGCGGGCGCGGGCAGGGGCAGGGCAGGTGGTGGCCCCGGAGACGGTGTGCCGCTGGGAGGCGTGGGCGGCAGCGAGTCAGCGGGGCCCATGCGCTCGGGAGATGGGCTGCCCAGGATGGTCAGCAGGCTGCTCTTGGACAGCTGCGGGGACTCAGCCAGCCGCGGGCTTGGGCCGTGGCTCATGGCGAGACAGGATGGTAAGTGGGTGCGAACTCGTGGTTGGGCTCAGGGACCGGGTGTACGGCCCCGGACCAACATGATACCGCTGTGCTTGATGCCCGACGCTTCCCGCCGTTCTCCAGGATGCCAGTCTGGAACCCTTCGGATCTGCGAGAGAACACAACCATTGTAGGCTGCAACAGTCACACCATCAGCCGAGAAACCATGTGTGTAGAGGGGACAGCACTGGCAGAGGCGGGAAAAGTGCGGCTGGGGAGGGGAGCAGGAGGGAGGGGAGCAGGAGGGAGGGCAGGGGCCTGCAGCCATTTCCTCTCCGGCCTCCAGCGCCCCTTATCCTTCCAAGGCAGTTGATCTGAAACCTTGGTTCGCTGTCTCTGACCCTCATGTAAGCCACGGTGCCTTTCTGGGCTTCAGTTTCTCTAGTACAATCTGAGTGGAGTGAGGAAGCCCAGGTACCTTCATCAGGTGAGGTTCAGGTTCACCTGGACCCCTGCTTAATTAACGAGTAGTTCCGCTCCCAGCCACAGAGAGTGTGTTGAGCAGGTAAGCAGCTTGGCGTCTGCATTTTTAAGAGCCCCAAATTTAGGGCCGGGCGTGGTGGCGTGGTGGCGCGGTGGCGCAGGCCTTTAATCCCAGCACTTGGGAGGCAGAGGCAGGAGGATCTCTGTGAGTTCAAGGCCAGCCCGGTCTGCATAGTTTCAGGACAGCTGGGGCTACAGGGAGACTCTGTCTCAAAAAGCCCCCCCCCCCAAAAAAAGAGTCTCAAGTTTGGGGCACGTGCCGTCCCAGTCTCTGACTAGCTTTTGGCAGTGCTAGGGATGCCTGGCTTAGGGGATGTGCAGTCACAGCCAAGAGCTCTACCACTGAGCTGTACCTCGAAGTTCCAGCGTTGCCCAATAGAGTTCCACACACATGTCCCGACCCCAATGACACCTTTGTGGATAGTCACCAGACACAGCCACACAGATCCAGGCTCCAGTATGTGACACTCCCAAGAGCTCTGTGGCAGGCAAAGTGCCCTCTCTGACGCAGTGTCTCTGCCTGTGCGATGAGTCGGTGGCCATGGCGCCCACAAGTATCTAGACATCTGCACACACAGACATGGCTGCAAACATACAAGCAATTGCACCCACACAGAAGGATAAAAGGCACATATAGTCAAAGATGGACCCCTGGGTACACAGCTCTATGGATGGATGCAGGGGACACATACATCTATATACATGCACCAGCACACTGTTGGCCTCCAAACACACAAAGACGTGGACCCCTCAGAGAAGCCCAAACACACACCGACACTCCTCCCTCCACATTTTCCTGGCCCAGCTCCACGAGAGCCGCTCTTGGAAAAGAGAAACAATGTGAGCATCTGGGGGGAGGGGGGAAGGAGAAGGAGGAGGAGGGGCAGGAAACCCAAGGACAGGCCCTGCAGCCCTAGGGCTGGCCCAGCCTTGTCTGCTGGGCCTTCCTACTGCCCTACAGTAGGAGTGGCAGTGTGGGGGGGATGGCTGCCACCACATTCTCTGCCTCTAGGAGCTCCCAAGCCTGGCATGGACTCTTGGCTCAGAGAAGACTCCAACTAGCTCCTTCCAGGAATCCTAAGCCCATGGCACAAGAGCAGGGCAGACACCACCCAGGCCCCTAATGGCTTCCAGGCACCCATGCTGAAGCCGGGCTGGGGTGGGGGGGTGGGGCTCCAGAGACAGCCCCGGTTCCCTTCTGGGAAAAGCAGTGGAGCACAGAGGCTGCAACACTCACTGCCTTTCCCCTTAGGCCCTCCACAGGTGTGCACATGTGTATGGGAAGAGGTGGGGCAGGTCCAACCCCCCCCCCACAGCACACCTGTGTAGACCCTGTGCAGCTGGCTTCTGCCTAGCAACACCTCCACAATCCTACCCCACTTACTTAACAGCCTTGGAAACACACAGCCCTGTTAACCCAGGTATACACACAGGCCTGGTGCATGCCACATACTACAAGAGTCAGGCAAGTCCCAGCTGCCTGCCACCTACCTGCTCCTCACCAGGCTCAGTGCCTTCTTCCCATGGGGACTTTATATGGGTAGTGATTCCCTAAGGCGGTCATTGCACCCAAGGAGCAGTTGAGGGTGGGAGCAGCCCCCATAGGCCCAGAGAACTCCTTTCCCCCTTCACCCCCTCTAACACCAGCCAGCCCATAGGTTCATTTCAGTTGTCATGGCTAAGAACTGACCTGATGTGCTGATATGCCCTGTCCCATCCCCTATCTTGGGGGCAACAGCTCACAGCTTCCCACAACCAGACCTGGCCAGCTGACCTCTTACAACATGGTAGCCTCCTACTCAGTAGGAACACTTGTGCCACTTACAGCTTCTAAGACAGGCCCTACGTATAGTACTTGCTTAAAGCTGGCTAGTGAGGGGCCAGGCATGGTGGCTCATGCCTTTAATCCACTCAGGAGACAGGCAGGCAGATCTCTGTGAGTTCCAGGCCAGCCTGGTCTACATAGTGAGTTCAAGCCAGCTGGGGCTACAGGGAGACTCTGTCTCAAAAAAGACCAACCAAACAAAAAAGCTGGCTAGTGGGGGGGTGGTCTCAGCTCCCGAAAGCCAATAACTGTCACTGCTCCAGGACAGAAAGAAACCAAGCCAGGGATGGTGGTGCACATCTTCAATCCCAGCACCCAGGAGGCAGAGGCAGGTGGATCTCTGTGAGTTGGAGGCCAGCCTGGTCTACGTAATGAGTTCCAGGCCGTTTGGGGCTATCAGAGACCCTGTCTCAGAGAGAGAGAAGGAGGGAGAGAGAGAGCAGACTTAGGAATGTCTCTCCCTCTTCCTTTCTCCATCTGCAAACCCCTATACATATCCTTCAGGATCCACCTGCAGCATCCCCTCCCCTGAAAAGCCTTTCCTACACTGTGAAGGCCTCAGAGGCATCTTGGTCTTGCTGGTTGTCCACACAGGGCCAAGTACAAAACAGATGCTGTGTGACTTTTCTTAGCTGATGGAAGATGGACAGAGCTTCTATTAGGAGTCCCCTGTGACCAGGGACAGTTTGGGAGGATTGAGTTATTCTCAGGATCAGAAATCAGTTCTAAGAGGCCAGGCGTGGTGTACTCCTTTAATCCCAGCACTTGGGAGGCAGGGGTAGGCAGATCTCTGTGAGTTCCAGGTCATCCTGGTCTACATACTACATAGCTAGTTCCAGTTCCAGGCCAGCTGGGGCTACAGGGTCTAAAAAAAAAAAAAAAAAAAAAAAAAAAAAAAAAAAAAAAGGAAAGAAATAAATAAAGAAAGAAAAGAAATCGGTTTTCAGCCAGGTTCTGAAATAGGTAGGTGACTGAGCCCATCTGTGGTCAGGGGATACAATAACTTTTGTATTCTGTCCTCAATGTTTGGATGGCTCCCTTAGCATCCATGGAGAGGAGCAGCATCAAGACCTGGATGGGGGCCAGCTGAGGGATTGGGGGACCCAGAAGCATAGGACCCCCCTACAGCTCAGACCCTTCCCATGTCATCCTAGAATCTTTTAGGTAGGCTCTGGGGCAAGCCCAGGGCCACAGGCCTGGCTGTGGGTAGGGATTAGTGCCCAGCAGGAAACCACGGAGGGACAGCCTTATTGAATAAGTGCAGGGCCCAAGACTGGTCAGCCCACAGATTGTGGGCACCTGTCCCTCTGACCTGCTGCCCAACCTGCAGCTGCTGGACCTCCAGGAGAGAACTGGGGGAGAGAGAGAGAGGGAGGAAGACTAGGTCTTCATGCTGCACCAGAGCCCAGGCACCCTCACCTTAAACTGAGGAACCACAAAGATAGCCTAGGTCACCAATTCCAATTATTCCTTACAGTTGGGTCAATGGAGGCCCAAGGTAGACAATTACTTACTTGTCTGTCACCGCACAGCATATCAGCAGTAAACAGGGCAGCGAGTTGGGAGGAATGGAACAGGATGCCTCCCTGGTTGGGCCATGACTACTTGAAGGGCACCCTACCCCTGGGAACACCTACGGGAGGGGTTTTCAGACTTGAAGCCACGGCTTGGTTAAGGGAGAGTTTCCGCCTGCATGGGCAGCGACCCGAGCCTCAGGACTCCTTATTCTTTTACAGCAGGCATGAATCCTAGCTTTCCCATTGATTCACTTTGTGGGTTATGTGCAGGTCCCAGGTTTCTCTTGGCCTCTTCCCCATCTATAGGGTCCGGAGAGACACAAGAGTCTTGAAAGCTCTAACAGGTGAACAGACTTTGTGCCAACAAGAACCAATGCAACCCTCACAAAAGTTCGGGGCATGGGGTTGGGATGAGGGACATATCCCACTTTGGGGACAGTGAAACAGCGGGTAGGGAGGTGGCTTGCACAGTGCAGCCCCCCGGCGTCACCAAGACGGTGGGCAACGAGACCCACCACCCTCCTCTCCGTCCCCAGCCCTCGCTCCACCTGCCATTCCTTCCAGAAGTTAGTTTTGTGCTTTTCAGGACCCTCTGTCCCCTTAGTCCCCACTTGGCCTCCCTCGCGGGCCACCAGCCCCGCTCCCCCTAGCGGTTGGAGGTAGTGCGGGGGTCCAGGCCTGCGCCGCCCGGTCCCGCCTACCTCACCGCGAGGCCCTCATTGGCAGCCACCGCGGGCCTGGGCGGGGCTCGGTGATCTGATTGGTCAGTGCCTCCCGTCCGTCCCGCACTCGCCATGGTGACCACGTTGGGTCTCCGGGGAGAGTTCCACATTCCGCCCCCGCCCGCCGCCCCTCCGGCCTGGGCCTGCGTTCCGCGGGCGTCCCCTCCCCCACCGCCCTGCCACCGGTCCCTGGCCACCGCCGGGGGACCCTAAAGTTTGGGAACCCGGAGAAGGGACCAGAAAGTTGAGCTCGGAGTTTGGGGATGCGGCGGGTGCCCGCCCAGTGCCTCTATCCCTAGCACGCCCCACAGCTGAGCCCTTCCCGCGAGCGGGAGGCTCCGGGTCGCAGCGAGACCCCGGCCGCGGTGGCCTCCCGTCCCGCAGTCCCCGCTCACCTCCTGGCCGGGCTCCGGACGTCGGAGCAGCAGCGCTGGGTGGAGCGGGCGTGGGGCTGGCTGGCGGCCTTGGCCGAGGGAGGGCCGCCGAGTCTCCTCCTCCCGCCGGGGGAGGGGAAGGGGAGCGAGCGGGCTGGGGCCCGAGTGGGGCGCGGCCTGCTGCGGGCTGGGGTCGGGCCGGAGGGACCCCCGACGGCGTACCCAAGCGCAGAGCACCCCAGTCAAGGTCCGCGTCCCTGACCTTGGCTTTCCCGCCAACCATGCACTAGGTGCCCCAAGACAGCAGTGGGCACCGTGGACCCACGTGGACCTGCTGGCAAAATCCTCGCTTTGGCTAACTGCATCCATCCCTGTGCCAGCGCTGCCACCACTGTGGACGTGGGCCGGGGAAGCCGTGTGCTCGCCCGGTCTCAGCCCTCCCCCCCCTTTTTTTTTGTACAACCAAAGAGATGTCCAAAGTGACGGCCAAAGTGACTTGGGCTTGTTAAAGGGGTGTGAAGAGTGCTTGGCCGGGTGTGAAGTTTTTCTTTTTTTTTTTATCTAGTGTGCGATGGTTCTTGGAGGAGTCCCCCACCCCCATTTGCACAGCCTTTTCTGGGGTTGCTTCTCTCTTGGGGGTTTAGGGTGTTTGTAGTCTTGGCAGAGAACAGAGAGGTCAGGATGGTACCTCGACACTACATCCTGCCACCTCAGATCAATCTATTTTATAAAGAAGACCAAAACTAACAGAACCCTGATGTGGGGAACTAGGCTGGATTGGGTTATTGTCTAGAAAAGCTAAAAATTAGCCTGGAATGGTGGCACACGCCTTTAATCCCAGCATAATCCTAGTATTTGAGAGGTAGAGGCTAGCCTGGTCTACATAGGGAGTACCAGGCCAGCTGAGGTTGCAGGGAGACCCCGGTGACCTCTCTGTCTCTCTGTCTCTGTCGCACACAAGCTAAACATTATGAAGACAAATTATACCTCTTAAGAATATTTAGATTCTAATTACAGTCGTGTGCATAGTAGTATGAAGAGTGAATCAAATACTGATACTGAAGACTTTTCTTACAGAGCTGAGTCGCATCCTTGTGAGCTGGTTTGCAGTAAGAAGTTAGTTCTTTACAGAAATACAAGGGCTTCCTCAAACCCAAGGATAACTTTGAATGCTTTGATAGTCCAGTACTTCTTTTAAAGCCAGTCACTTCCCTTACAGATGTTCTTTCTCTGTGGTATCTGTTGCTCCATTTTCTGCCTTGCTTCCATCAACTTCATGAAATCCCACAGTTTTTTGCAAGTTTTGCAGTTTCATTTGTTAGTTTATTTGCAGTGTGGGTTCTGAATTGTGGTCGGTTGACAGCAGCTGATAATAGGAGATGGGTTTGAGTGGGAATGCTGGAAGGTTTGCTTAGCATTACAGATTACCAGTCTGCAGATGCTCCAGGGGCTGGCTTCTGCTTCCTGTGCAGATGGGACCAGTGAGAGACACACACAGAGTATGCAGGACAAAGATGGCTTCCTTTTAGAACTGGGGAAATGAAAACTGAGATTGGCATTTGGCTCAGACAGGGTTTCACAGCCAGCAGTGACAGCCTTGAATCAAGAGCCTGAAACTCTTTCCCTAGTTTTTGGTGCAGAGGAAAGGTCAAGAGGTGGTGGGAGCTATGTGGATGGTGTACGTAGCCTCTGGGCCACACCTTGTGTGCTGGATGTTATTACCACCATGCTATGGTGAACGCACTCAAGATCAGAAACCCATTGATTCGGCCTAAGGTCACCCTGGGAGGTCTGAGCCCACATCTCTCAGTTTTCCCATTGTCACTGCTCCTGGTACCTGTGGTGAAATGCTAATCTGGTGTTAGCATTCTCAGAGGACCTAGTAAAGGGTTCTGTCTTCAGACTCAAGACACTGGACTGACTGATGCCTGTGTCAGCCTGTCCCTTCTATACCCCTGCTGTTATGTTTGCCATGTGTGCAATGCCCACAGAGGCCAGAAGAAGGTGTTGGATCCTCTGGAACTGGAGTTACAGATAGTTGTTAGCCACCATGTAGGTGCTGGGAACTGAACCCAGGTCCTCTGTAACCAGCCAGTGCTCTCAACCACCGAGTGTCATCCCCACCCCACCCCTGCCTTTTATCTGGCTGGTCTTTAAGTGAACATCCTCCTGCTGAGTCCTGAATGTGGGCTGTGTCCTGGGTTCTGGCATTGCAGGAATGCATCACCATGCTCACCCAGCTCAGATATCTTGCTTTTAATGTCTAATAAAAACAATTGAAGCCAGGTGTGGTGGTGCATGCCTTTAATCCCAGCACTCGGGAGGCAGAGGCAGGCAGATCTCTGTGAGTTCAAGGCCAGCCTGGTCTACATAGTGAGTTCCAGGCCAGCTGGGGCTGTAGGGAGACCCTGTCTCAAAAAGATCCCTGCCCCCCAAAAAAAGAAAGAAAAAAAAGAGGGACATAATTCAATGTTAGAGGCTTAGAGACTCAAAACTGCTAGGCACAGTGGTAGTTCCAGCTACTCCAGAGACTGAGGCAGGAGGACTGCTAGAATCCAGAAATTCTAGGTGGACATGGATGCCTCCACTGAGTGGTACATCAATATAATGACTGCCCAGGTTGCCTAAGGAGGAGTGAACTGACCCAGATCAGCAACAGAGCAGGTCAGAACTCATATGTTCATCAGAGAGACTAAAGACATTTTATCCCTCTCTAGTCAGAGGCTTCTGCTGGGCACCACAAAGATTGGGGATTTGGAGAGTAAATGACACACTTATGGTGTAACTCAGTTGTTCTAATGTCCTGTCAGGGTCACAGTCCTCTCACAGATCCTCCATGTGGGGAGACCCTTGTCAAAGGATGGCAGTGACCTCATTGCCACCTGGAGACTGAGCAGGACATTGGCTTGCCACCTTATGCTGCAGCCTCCAGAGTGTTTTGTTGGGGACTGAGCCCTGAGGAGTGGAATGGAGCTGGGGGGGGCACAGCTGGAGCAGAGCAGAGGTGGGCATGAATGTGACCAGCATATGTAGAACAGGGTAGAAGTTGGGTGGGGTTAGACCGTGAGGCAATAGGGAGGCGCTTCTGGCTTTAGAGCAGGACAGTGTCTGAAGTGAGATCCAGGGTGTGGTGTACAGGGACAGATAACTAGGACTCTTAGCTGAGGCAGGGACAGGAGGCAAGAAACAGGAGCTGCAGGGACCTGGGGAGCAAAGCTCCATCTAGGCCCTCAGAGCAGCTGCTTGCTCAGGACTGCTGAGCAGCAGTTCAGTTCTAGAGGCAACCAAGAAGTTTCAGACAGGAAGAGCCAGGAGATCAAGGTCTAGGTTATTATGGTCAAGTAAAACTGAAACCAGGGGCTGGGGGACTCTGGCTCAGCAGTGAGGTGCTTGCCGTGTATACACAAGGCCTGGGGTTGAGGCCAAGTACAACAAAAGACAGAAACAAGGAAGAAACAAGGCACGGCACAAAAAGGGTAAGAGATTACCGAAGTCATGCAATGACCAGGGTCCCTGCAAAGCCTTTGATGGCAGCTGGGGTGGGGGCCTCCTTTCCCACAGAGGCCCCCGCACCCACTGTGGGCTGGGCTGGACTGGCATTGGTGGGCTAGTGCAGGTGGCAGAGGGAAGGGACACCATGTCAGGACCTGGCTTGTGAGGACTTCTGGTTGAAGGAAAGGCTGACCAGCTTTGCTGTCCTGCTGTTCTGGCCACACTCTGAGTTTCTCCCTGGGCCACCTGGAGCCAGGTCCTCATCCTCTCTAGGCCATAGACTCTGTGACACTTGCCAACCTTACTGCTGATACACTTCATACCCAAAGATGCTACTGCCAGCATCTTCATCTTACAGAAAGGAAACTGAGGCTTCAACACTCTTAAGGGTATGACCTCAAGCAGCACCCTAGCCTGTAAACTTGGAACTTGAACCCAGGCAGTTTGCAGTTTGCCCTAGCCCTTGCTGCAGGTGTCTGCCATCATCAGTGTCAAGGATTGTCAGGTCAGGCAGGCTCATTTTCCCTTTTTTAGAAGTTTATTTGGCTTACAGTTCCAGAGAGATGAGTCCGTTATGGTGGGGGGAGGCATGGCAGGAGGCAGCAGGACAGACAGCTGAGTGATCAAATCTTCAAGCATGCACAGGAAGCCACTATTTTCCCTTTAAGTGGGGAAACTGAGGCTTAGGGAGGAGCCATAGCTTGCCCAAGTTGCAGAGCTCTCATGCATCTTGAACCCTCTGTGGTGCCATGTTGCCCTTCCTGGCACACTTCTCAGAGGTGCAGGAAGTTCGGCAGGGTCGCTGGGGTGAGAGCAGGGGGATCTTGTTCTAGCCAAGCTCAGAGGAAATGGAGACTGCTGCCGAGAAAGAAGAAGTGAGGCAGGAGTGTGGGTGTGGGTGTGGGGTAAAGAAAGGCCAGAGAAGCCAGGGGGCAAGTGAGTGTGAGGTGAACAGAGAAGCCACTGGAGCCACTGCTGTCGGCACCTTCTTCCAACTTCCCTTTCTCTCTACAGACGTCAGAGGACCACAGCAAGACAGCAGTGAAGACACACAGCAGCTTCGCAGGTTAGTCCCTGGACCTCTCCTCCCTCCCTCCCATTGGTCCCCATCCACAGATCCCTATCCACTGGACTCTGGGCATGCCCCTGCCCAGGTGACAGACCTGGGGACCTACCTCCTTTCAGTTCCAAATCCAGGATTTCAGAGACTTCTGCTTTCAAAAGAGACCACTGGAGTTAAGGTATGATTAGATGTTGGGGTCAAGTCCTGCTTATTCTTGGGGAAAGGTAGAGGACCTAGATTTCCTGGACCTCAGTTTCCTCAGATATAAAATAGGGTGAGTCCAGTAACTTGAACCTCAAGTGATAGGGCTGAGGGACTGTCAGGTGCTCTGCATAGGACCTGGCACACAGCTTGTGCCAGCAACTGGCAGCTGGTAAAGTTCCCGAGCAATCAGAGCTGGAGTCTGGGGACCCAGTGTCTCAGAGAAAGGGTCTCAAGGTCATCCAAGTCACAGACAACTTGGGGTTTTGCTGTGGCCTACCATGTTCACCTGTGAAATGGCCTTATAGTAGCCTTCCTCTGGGTTGTTTCCTGGTGATCCACTGGGTCATTCCTCACCTAGACCAGGGAAAATCACTGGAAGCCAGAGGCAGGGCCCCAGTCTGTGGTCAGCCGGGGCAGCTGTTTAAGGGAGCAGGGTGCTGCTGGCTAGGCACGCCCTGGTATTGCCAGGTTACTTAGGGGTGTGTAGTCCGTGCTTGGGAGAAAGGGTCTCCTGAGTCTCATACACAGATGTTTTCCTGGCCAACATCTTTGGCTTCTTAGAGTGCTAGGCCTTGGGCAGGACCTGACCCCATGAATTCGGATCCTGGAAATGGTTTGAGTTCCTCTCCCTGGGAAATAGGTCTCTTTGGCCTCATTTTGCACACAAGAAAACTTTAGGATCAGAGAGGCCAAGTTCCTAGCCCAGTGTCATGCAGCCAGGGTGCTGAATTCTGGAGCTGGTTATCAAATCCACAGCTTCCCAAGGCCCTGTCTTGGATATGTGTTCCACATATCTCTTCATTTCTCTGATGGCCTAAAATAGGGTCTTAATTGTTGACAGCAACTCAGCTCCCCAGACACCTTTACAAAGCTCCCTTGTACACTGAGCTTGGGCGTCTGGAACCTAGTGTGGGTCCCAGCTTGGCCATAGAGCTACTGTTGAAGCCCAAGCAAACCCTTCGCTTGCATGGTATTCAGTTGTTCTGCAGTCTTCTGGAACCATCCAGAAAGTCAGGAAAGGGATTCCTAGATACCAGAGGGCCCCAAGTGATGAATTGCAGGTACAGAAACCTGATGGCTGAGGATAGGGGTTGGTGGTGTGTGGGGCCCCTCTGTAGGCACGGGGAGGGCACCTGGAGGTCACAAGCAGAAGTGAAGGTGGTATTTTGCCTCTTAGAATGGAGTGGAAATCACAGCTTCGATCTGGGGTGTTTGGTTGGTGAGGAAGAGACTTCAAAAGATGGCTCAGCAGTCAAGAGTGGGTACTGCTCTTGCAGGGGAACAGAGTTCGGTTTTCTAACTCCCGCTCCAGGTGATCTGACTCCCTTTTCTGGCCTCTGTGAGCACTATACTTAGGTACACACACATACACACACACATATACATACACACACACACACACACACACACACACACACACGGACGCATGCACCCATGCACTATGCACACACATACACATGCACACACGGACACACACACCCACGCATGTACGCACACACACACTTAAAAAATAATAAAAGTAAATCTTAAAAACCAAAATAAAAAGATTAAAAATGAGATTTCTGCATCACAAATAAAATGTGTGATGTTTAAAGACAATGGCAAACTAAAAACAACAAACTAGAAATAACATTTTAATTCATGTAATAGACAGGAGCTGATTTCCCTATCATGAAAAGGTTTCCAGCACTGATAGGAGAAAGCCCACGCAGGGTCCAGTGGTGGCCTTGCACGTGTTGGAAGTGCTGGAAGTACAGGTTCTGGAACTGCTGGGGACTGAACCCAGGGTCTCATGCCTGGCAAGCACTCTACCACTGATCTGCATCCCCACCTGGCTGCATAGGAGCCAAAGATAAGAACCAGCACCCCTAGGGCACTAGAACTTGACTTCCAGGAAATGAGAATCTCTGGCCTGCTAAATGCTATTAGCAGAAGACTGTGAAATAAATTCTGGCTTTTCCCTCAGATGATTTTAGCATATGCGGTTGAAGAAGTGTTGTCCCTAGATACAGTTATGGCAGAGTCTCGAGATGTGTTTTTAAGTGAAAAGGCCGAAGACAGAACAATGTGTCCAGGAATCCACTTTTTGTACTAAATGGGAGAAATCTTATTTGTATTTGCATGAAGAAGCTGTAGAAGCTAGAGCAGACTCCAAGGTGGTGGGGCTACAGGGAGACCCTGCTTCAAAAAGACATCCCCGCAAAAAAAAAGAAAAAAAGAAATAGAAGACTCTTTATTACTAATCTATAGACTGGCCCCTTAACAGAAAACCAAGTTCTTTTTGAATAATAAGAGCAGAGACTATAAGAGTGTTATCAATGGAGCTGAAGAGATGACTCAGGGATTAAGAGCACAGCCTGTTCTCTGAGAGCACCAGGATTTTATTCCCAGTACGCACATGGCAGCTAATAATTGTCTGTAACTCCAGTTCCAGGGGTTCCAGTGCCCTCTTCTGACTACCGCAGGCATTGCATGACACAGGTGCCCTTACATACATGCAGCTAGTATATAAAAAAAAAAAAAAAAAAAAAAAAAAAGCTACCAAAACAAAACAGAACAAAACATTACTCGTTTTTCCAGAGATAGATTACATTGATTTACAACACTGAATTTTTTTAAACAGTTAAAATTTTTTACTTATTATTTTTATTTTATGTGTATGCGTGTATTGCCTGCATGTAGGTAAGTGCACCCATGTTATGCAATGCCCGCAGAGGTCAGAAGAGGCTGTCAGATCCCCTGGGATTGGAGTTACAGACAGTTGTTAGCTGCCATGTGGGTGCTGGGATTCGAATCTGGGTCTTCTGCAAGAACAACCAGTGTTCTTAACCGCTGAGCCATCTCTCCAGCCCACACATTGAATTTTTTTATTTATTAATTTTTATTTTATGTGTATGAATATTTGCCTGCATGTAACTGTACCATGTGTATGCACTGCCCATGAAGGCCAGAAGAGGGTGCCAGATCTGGAACTGAGTTATGGACAGTTATTAGCCACTATGTGGGTGCTGGGGATGAAACCCTGGTCCTCTGCAAGAGCAGCCGGTGCTCTTAATCACTGAGCTGTCTTTCCAGACCCTATTTTACAACATTAAAAAAAAAAATTTTTTTTCTCTTCCAGTGCTGGGGACTAAACCCAGGGTTTTGCATGTGCTAGGCAAGTCTTTGCCACTGAGCCATACTCCCAACCCCTATGTGTGATTTTCAGCTTGCTTGTCACTCAATGTGTTGTTCTCCTTCTTCTTAACTATAGATGCATAATTTAAAAATGTAAAACACTGACTGTTCTTGCAAAAGACCTGGGTTCGAATTCCAGCACCACATGGCAGCTAACAACTGTTCATAACTCCAGTTCCAGGGGATCTGACAGCCTCTTCTGTCCTCCGAGGGCATTGCACGACACAGGTGCAC